ATTCTATTATCTCTAAATGAGGGTACAGCTCTAAAACTCAGTTTTATGGTTCTGAGGCCGGCTGGTAGTCAGGTTTCCTGAACTCTGTGGTAGCTCTCAGAGAGGCTAATTCCATCAACAGCTGAAAAATATCAGAGTACTAACAGTGCCATGTTGCGCATGGATGGTGTCCCTGTTTGTACTTTTGGTGTGCATGTGCTCAAGCAATTGCCTCAGTGGAAATGAGGCAATTGCTTGAGCTATAGAACAGTGTACTGAGTACTATCAATGTTTCGAGTCATGTTCTTTAACAAATTTAAAAATGAATAAAGTAACAAAAACTATAAAACACAAAAAACCACAGTCATCACCAAGTTCGCTAAACCTATCATTCACTAATATTCGTGGTCTTCGAAGTAAATTTTCTTCTGTTGAGTCTTATCTCTTGCAAAGTTCACCAGACCTGCTTGCTCTTTGTGAGACAAATTTGAGTTCAGCTGTCTCATCTTGTGATATTTGTGTTGATGGTTATCTTCCTTTAATTCGTAAAGACTCCAATAGTCACATGCTTGGCCTGGGCATTTACATTCGTAAGAATTCACCCATTTGTCGGGAAACTAGGTTTGAATCCACAGACTACTCTTTTATGTGCTTTCGTTTAGCATCACTTCACTCTATCACCTTTCTCTTTGTTCTATATCGCTCTCCCTTATCCCAAGACTGCACTCTTCTTGATGTTATTTCTGATTATATTGACTAAGCCCTCATTCTTTATCCATCAGCCAATATTGTTGTTGTCGATGACTTTAATGTTCATCACACTGAATGGCTTGGCTCTAGTGTCAGTGACTCTGCAGGCATTAAGGCCCACAACTTTTGTCTTTCTCAATCCCTAACTCAAATAGTCAACTTTTCAACTCGCTCTCAAGACAACCCGAATCATTTACCTTCTCTACTCGACTTATGTCTTGTTTCTGATCCTAGTCAGTGTTCAGTTTCTTCACACTCACCCTTAGTTGCGTCTGATCATGGGTTGGTCTCTCTAAAACTATTATCTCATTCTTCTTTACCATTAGAATCCCCCTATCATCGTACATCTTACAACTACCTTAAAGCTGACTGGGACTCTTTTCCTGACTTTCTTCGTGATGGCCCCTGGGTAGAAATCTTTAGTCTCCCTGTTGACAAATGTGCTTCTTACATAACTTCGTGGATTCAGGCTGGCATGGAATCCTTTATTCCCTCTTGACGATTCCAGGTCAAGCCTCACTCTTCTCCATGGTTTTCCTCACATTGTGCTGCTGCAATTGCCAATTGAAACCATTACTTCCATATCTATCAGCAAAACAATTCTCTAGAAAACAGACGTCTCTTTATTACTGCTAGGAACCATTTTAAAAAAGTTTTTTCTAACGCCAAAACCCGCTATTCTCAGATCATGAAATCTCGTATTTCATCACAAAAATTAGGCTCTCGTGACTTCTGAAGAATCTTTAATAGTATCAATAATAGGGGCAAGTCTGTAATTCCACCTCTTTTGTACGGTTCAGACTTTGTCACCTCATCTAAAGACAAAGCTGAATTGTTTGCCAAGAACTTTTCATTAATATCATCTCTTGATGCCACTAGTTGCGTTTTACCTGATTTACCCGTCAAACAGGTTGATCCATTGCTCGACATTCATTTCACTCCAGCTTCTGTATTTAAAGTGATTTCCCGCTTAGACTCTTCTACAGCTTGCAGCCCGGACAACATACCTGTTATAGTCTTGCAGAAGTGTTCTCCTGAGCTGTCGTCTATATTTTCAAAACTATTCAACAAGTGCTTATCAGAGTCTTGTTTTCCAGCCTGATAAAGTTTGGCATGCTGGTCTTCTCCATAAGCTTTCTTCTTTATAGTGTATCTGGAAACATCTTTAAGATTATTGAATCCTTCCTTTCCAATCGTAGTATAAAAGTTGTCCTTGATGGACAGCACTCTTCTTCTTATTCTGTAACCTCAGGGGTTCTCCACGGTTCAATCCTTGGCCCTATACTCTTTTTAATTTACATTAATGATCTTCCAGATATTCTCACATCTAAGGTGGCATTGTTTGCTGATGATACTACCATTTATTCTTGTCACGATAAGAAGCCAACTCCCTCTGATTGCTTGCAGGGGGCATCTGAGCTCAAAAAGGATCTCAGTTCTGCTACAGCATGGGGCTGGCAGTGGCTGGTGAACTTTAGTTCAGATAAAACTCAATTTTTTTCGGCCAATCGTTATCGCAATAATTTAGACCTTCCTATGTTTATGAACGGTAATGTACTCGATGAGTCTCCTACCCTTCATATTCTAGGATTAACTCTTACTTCTAATCTTTCTTGGAAACCTTATATCAAATCCGTTGCAACATTAGCATCTGCTAAAGTTGTTTCTCTTTATGGAGCTCGTCACTTTCTTACTCTGGATTCTATTCTCTATCTCTATAAATCTCAAATCCGGCCTTGTATGGAATACTGTTGCCATATCTGGGGCAGATCTTCTAATGATGCCCTTTCTCTTTTAGACAAGATGCAAAATCGCATTGTACACATAGTTGAACCTGCTCTTGCAGCCAACCTTCAACCTCTGTCACATCGTCGTAATGTTGCTTCTCTTTCTCTTTTCTACAAATACTATATAGGGCACTGCTCTAAAGAGCTAGCGTCTCTTGTGCCATCTACTAAAATTCATCCTCGTGTTACTCGTCATTCAATCAAGTCTCATCCTTTTTCTGTAACTGTTCCTAAGTGCTCCAAAAACTCTTATTTGTCTAGTTTTTTTCCTCAAACATCAGTTCTTTGGAATTCGCTTCCTTCATCTTGCTTTCCTGATTCATATAATTTGCAATATTTTAAGTCGTCTGTCAATCGTTATCTTGCTCTACAATCTTTATCTTTTCTCTTCCAGTAACTTCCAACACTAATTAGTGGTTGCTTGCAACCTTGTTAGAAGCAAAAATAATTAAAAAAAAAAGAAGGAAAATTCAAACCAGATCCCAGTCTTCTTCAACCTATTAAAGAGATGCCTCCTCGTGATACTAAATCCGTGAAGCGCATTATTGGATTATTCTCATACTACTGTAAATAAAACTTGAACTTTTCCAACAAGATAGCTTCTCTTACCTGAAAGAAAATCAGTGTGTAAATGATTTTAATCAACTTAAACATGACATTGCAAATGCTGTGATAGGTTATGTGGGCGAAAATGTCCCATTTGAAGAGCCAATGCGGTTCTTAATCAAAATGGGCGCCCTGTTGCATTTTTTTAAAAATTACTTCAAAAGTCTGAGCTCAAAAATTCCCCTATTGAGAAAGAAGCTTGTGCAATAATAGAAGCAGTCAAACATTGGAAACACTGCCTTAATGGATGCCATTTTAGACTTATTAGCAATTAGCAACCTGTGTTTTATATCTTCGAAAAGCAACATAAATCAAAAATTAAAAAAGATAAAATTTATCGATGAAAAATTGAACTATCTTGCTATATTTATGACATCGTTTACAAGGAAGGGAAATTAAATATCTCAGCAGCACATTTTGTAGAACACATTGCTCAGCAATTAACACTGACAATTTAATTCTGCTTCATCGATCACTCTGTCATTCTGAAGTAACTAGATTTTATGTTTTTTTTTTAAAATTGTATTTTAACTTTCTCAATTAATGATGCTAAACTAAAAAACTAATCAGTGCAAATTATGTTGTGAATTTAAGTCTAGATATTACAATTCAATAAAAAAAATTTGTCAAAGGCGACACAACCACTTGAACATTTGAACTAAGATTTTTAAAAGACCTCTTTTTCAGAAACTAATAACAAGTATTTTTCAACAATAATTGATGAGTATTCTTGTTTTCCCTCTACGATCTCGTGTCCTGATAATTCATTTCAGACTGTAATTAAGTGTTTGTCACAAGTAATTTTAGTTTTTGGTTAGCCAAATAATATCAATTCTGATAGAGGTTCAGTCTTCATCAGTAACGAATTGAAGCAATACTTACTAGAGAAAGGTATTGCGACAAGTCATACTACCGCATATAATCCCCAAGGAAATGGTCAAGCAGAAAAGTATAATGAAACCATAATGAAGTCTATTGAGATTGCTACTAAATAAGACAATTTACCCATCAAAACTTGAGAAAAATTATTGCCAGATGTACTCCATTCTATAACATCATTTATAAATACTAAAACAATAGAGACACCTCATTAAAGAATGTTTAGGTACCTTCGTAAAACATCCACTTAATGCACTGTGCCTATATGGTTATGTCATTCTGGACCTATTCTAATGAAAAGACATTTACTTAATAATATGTATGATTCACTGGTAAATGAAGTTCAACTCATAGATGCTAATCCTCAATATGCTCACATAAAGTGACCCAGATGGAAGAGAAACCACAGTTTCCCTAAGACACTTAGCTCCAACAAGTTCCGCTCTGATCATTGATCAAACAAATCATATTGAACCTTTACCAAAGAATGCTTTTAATAAACCTTCTTACCCTTATAAACCGTTAACACATGAGAAATATGGACTTACTAATACATTTCCTGAAAACTCTCCGAAACAGCCTCCCTTTTATCAACCTCCACTAGCTGAAAACCTTGTCAATGATTCTTGTCTTGTTATCAATAACACCTGGAAAAGACACGCGTAGATCCTCAAACGTAAGCTGTCAACCATAACGACTTATAGAAGAAAATACATGAAGAATCTTGTTTATTTAATATTAACTCTGTTTATATTATGGCTGCAAAGAATATTGTATTTTGATGATTTACTTTCTTTATTTTAGAGTAGAAAAACTTATAAGAATTAAACTTTTTGTTGTTCTTTATACTAGTGCTTTGCATGTTTTGTGGTAACCCCTTTGTGGTAAATTGTTTTTGATAACTCCTAACAGTTTGAGATCATTTTTTCTAATTCAGAGCACTGTATATATTTAATTTGTTAGAAAATTTTAAACAATTACCTGTTTTTACAAATGTAGCAACATCAACAACTGAAGCTCCAACATCAACAACCTCACCTTCAACAACAACCACAACTAAGAATACAATAACGACAACATCTACAGCTCCAACAACAATAACAATATCAATACCATCTGAATCTACAACAACAACAACATCTGAAACTCCATCAACAATATGCACAACTTGTAAGTCAAATAAATTCTATTATTTTTTCAATGTTTATTCTGTTTATTTAAAAAAAAAAATATTTATGCAAATTCATCCTGATTATACATAAATCACAACTGTTACCTTTGATAAATACATTTCTGACTTAAACTCTACAACAGCTAATTTTTTCAGGTACTTCTTCAATACCCTTATACTGTTAATTTAAGTGCTTTATTGAATCTTTTTTTTTTCTTCCTGCTATATAACACCATATTTTGGAATCTCGGGAGGTTTCTCTGATCTAACTAACTATAGACCAAACATTCTTATTACTATTTTTCTTATTCTTATTCTATAGAATAGATAAAACCATTATTAATCTTTTGTTCCTAACATGGTCTTTTTACTTCAATAATTTTTAGTAAATATTTAATTGAAAAATCTTTGCTTTTGTGTTAACGACAAATTTTCCATACTTCAAAACTTCTAATCATAAATAGGAGGAGACCTGATGTATACTATTTTTTGCTGTTTTCTGAATATATATATATATATATATATATATATATATATATATATATATATATATATATATATATATATATATATATATATATATATATATATATATATATATATATATATATATATATATATATACATACATACATACATACATATACATACACATATACAATACTGTTCATAATTATTCAAATGATCATACTTTTTAATTTGAGATATTAGAGTTTTATTTGCTGTTTAGAGAGGAATCAAAAACAAAGTCTACCTGAATTATATGTTATCTTCCTATTTATTAGGTTTACAAAAAAATTTATATAAAATCCCATTAGATTAGTTTATAGTTTTCTTGTCTATTAATCATCCATAGCAACAACAACTGCAATACATAATCTTGGCACAACTTATCCATATTTTGATGATTTCGATGCATAAGATGTGAAAAAAACTAATAAGTTTTTTCTACATCTTTTGTATCATTACACATTCGTTTTTGACATTCCTTCCCAAAAAAATACAAAAAAAGAGAGATCTTGTAATTGTGGAGGCTAAAGCATTCTATTCAATATTTGATCGTTCTCAAACTCATTCAAATATCTTATACAATTTTTTTTTTTGGGAAAATATATTTTGAATTTAAGCTTTAACTAATTTTCTTCTGAAAAAATAAATGGCTTCCCATTAAACCATCTTTTCAAAGACTTGGTTTGATTTTTTAAGTGTAAAAGTAAATTACTTCTGTTATTACTTCTTCTATTTTTAAAAACTCACCTTTGGCATTCCAATTAAAACAGCCTCACACCTTAAAACTGCATCCTGCATGTTTTACAGTCTACTAAATATTATTTACACACTATTTTATCTTATATTCCACAATTTTTCTAGACAGTCTTATCTTGAAACCAAAGATTTAAAACTCCAACACATTGGTCCACAATTACAGTCATTGATGGCCCATTTAATACAGTTTTGCACACTCGTGCATTTTTATTCACAATTTTTGCACACTCATGCATTTTAGTCACAATTTTTATCAAAGCATTTTAATCAAAATATTTTCAAATTATCTAATAGTGCAAAAACAAACATAAAAAGTAGTTAAATAAAAGAATTAAAAAAAAAAAATTAATAGTGATTTGAATAATTATTAACAGCAGTATATATATATATATATATATATATATATATATATATATATATATATATATATATATATATATATATATATATATATATATATATATATATATATATATATATATATTTATATATATATATATATATATATATATATATATATATATATATATATATATATATATATATATATATATATATATATATATATATATATATATATATATATATATATATATATGAATTAGTAGAAATTCACTTAACAAAATTTTTTTTTATTTAACACTGTGTTTCATTAATAAAGACTCAGCAGAAATCTGATGATACTCGCTTAAAAAGTCCAATTTTCAGCCATTTTAAGATGCTTGAAAATTTGTTTAACACTTTGTTTTGATCTAAGATTAATAGTAGGGTTGAAAATTTCCCAGAAATTTTGAAGTCAGGAAAATTTCCGGAAATTTTGGAAATTTTCAAATACTTGTTAAAAAAAAAAATTTCAGGGCTTCTCTGATTATTTTTTATATGTTTACCATAATTTTACTGTTTTAATAAAGAAGGTTTATATAAATAAACTAATAAATTTCAGAAATAAATACATAGGTATTCACTAATAATATTAGTAAGTAGTTCTAAAGTAAATCTAATGGTAATAATGGTAAAAATAATAATTACAACAACAACAATTATTATAACAATGGCGATGATGATGATGATGATGATGATGATGATGATGATGATGATGATGATGATGATGATGATGATGATGATGATGATGATGATGATGATGATGATGATGATGATGATGATGATGATGATGATTTTTTGGTGTATAACTTTATAGTATTTTAAGTAGTATTAAAACTTTATAATATTATAGATGCATAACTTTATAGTATCTGAAATGATTGCTACACAAACATTCCTTTTTGACATTTTGTAATGATTTATATAAAGCTGTCAACCTAAACCAAAGAATAGGTGATACAAGAGAAACAACAAATAACTTGCCATTATATATGTTATATAATTAAATAAGTTTTTTACTCTTTTTGAAATAATAACAATAAAAACATTACAAAAATACTTTATAGGTATATTAGTACTATAGCTATAATGATAATAATAAATTAGTGTTGAATATAAATTATTTATTAGATCTGTAGTCGGTATGAACTATTTTTCTAAACTAAGTATACATTTTAAATTATTCTCATTTATTTTTGTACTGTAAAAATTTTTTTAGCAACAATTATGCCTAGAGAATTAGATCAAGTCTGGAATGGTCACTTTAAAAAAAAATATGTCAATATGGGAAAACAGCATTTATTTGCACATATTGCAATTCAAAATTTTGCACACAAAACTCTACACGAGCTAAAAAACATTTAGTTACAGATTGTACTAAATCTCCAAAAGCTGTAAAAAAAAAGTTTGCAACAGATGTTATGAAACAAAGTTTTGCTCCTAAAACAAAAAACGGAATATTATTAGTTAAATCTTTAATTGAACTCAACACAAATACAACAAATAATGCAGGTGTGTCAGATTTAATAATAGAAAATGATTGTTTTATTGATTGCTGTGACAACAATTATGCCATCTTTACAAGAAAGTCAGGAACCAGTTCCACAATAAATGTGGCTAATAACGAATTACATTCTGATTTACAAGAATGTTCTTTATCAAATATCTTAGAAGAAAAAAAAGCTTTCTGTTCAACTTCTATATATACTAGCAATCAAAAATCAATATCATATTTTTTTGATAAAGTTTCAACACAAGAGTGTGATGAAATAAATATACAATATGCAAGAGCAATTTATGCAACAGCCAGCCCTTTCAGAATGTCGGAAAATCCATTCTGGACTAATTTTTTTAAAAAGATTTGACCAGGTTGGTCACCTCCCAATCGTTATGCCCTGAGTCATAATCTTTTAGACACAGTATATAACCAAGTAAATAAATTCATACAAGATTTAATATCCCAGTCAGAAACTTTTGTTCTGATGACAGATGGTTGGTCTTGTATAAGTAATGGTTCACATATACAGATTATGTTAGCTACTCCAACTCCAATATACATCAGAAGTATTCATCCAAAAGAAAACTCCCACACTGGACAATACATATTCAATCAAATTGTTGAGATTATTGAAGATAAAAATGTTATATCAAACAAAAGAAAAAGAAAAGCTTTTTGCACTGACAATGCAGCTAACATGTTAGCAGTTCGGAAATTAATAGAAAATAAATATGATTGGATGTCAGCATATGGCTGTTTTTCTCATGGCCTAAATTTATTAGCTTGTGATCTTGCAAATAAGAACAAAATAATTTCGGAAACACTGAAGCAAAATAAACAACTAGTTAAGTTTTTTAAAAGTAAGCACAGTCTAAAAAGTATTGTTGAGCGTTGTAGCCTACACTCCTTGAATAAAAGTTTTATTTTAATTCTTCCTGTAGTAACAAGATGGTCATCACAATTTTATATGTTACAACGCAATATTCTACTCCGTGATTCATTGCGACTGGCAGTAACTGATGAAAAAGCACAAAAGTATCTTGACAAACATAATAATAAAAAAGGAATTGACTTAAAGGAATTAGTATTGAATGAAACCTTTTGGAAAAAGACGGATTTAATTTTCAAACTTCTGAAACCTATATCAGAAGCCATTTTGGAATCTGAGAGTGATGCAGCGTCAGTATCTATTGTTCCACAAGTCTTTTTTTATGTAATAACTGAGATATCTGATGTGTTGCAAAACTCAACACTTTTGACTTTACATCAAAAAGAGGATATCATTACTTGCATTAAAAAGCGTGAAGACTTTGTTGTAAGACCGATACACTTTGCAGCAAATTTACTTGATCCAAGATTTGTTGGTCAAAAGTTAAATCATTCAGAAATCATTGCTTTTAGCTGAGCAGCATGTATTCAGAACAGCTGAAAATGAAACACTAGCCACTGATATAATATTGGATGAATTAATGAGTTTCAAAGCTCGTAGTGGAATATTTAGCCAGGATAATCACAGCTATATTTGGAAGCTTAATGAAGATTGTAATCCAGTCACATGGTGGAAAGCATATGCACCAACAACATTATTGAATAGAATTGCATTAATATTATTGTCTTGTAACTGCAGCATTGCATCTGTTGAGCATGCAAACAAAGAGTTTTCATTGCAAAAATCTAAAGTAAGAAATCGCCTAACCAATACAAGAGCATCAAAGCTTTTATTTATTGCTTATAATTTGAAAATGCAGAATAAATTGGCTAAACGTAATTCTAAAAAGATAAAACATTCATGTTTAAAAACAAAAAACATTAAAAAAAGCCAAAAAAATCACAGCTGCTTATCAATCGATAATG